AACCAGTGATTGCATGGACACGTGACAAGAACTGTTCCTACTCTGCTACTGCAGCATCCTGGCTGCTAGCTGCAGGATGGTCTAGTCATCTCTGCTATATTTTTCAATCTCTTCAGACCCATGTTTAGAAAACAGTCTTTATGTAATTCTATTAAGTATTTAATTCCACTAGATTATAACTTATATATTGGGATTGCAGAAAGCAATGTCGGGTGTGGAAACATCTTAATGGCATGATGACATCAGAAATGGTAGTTTTCACTTGGATCACAAAGTCTTCTGGGAAAACTAATTCATCCAATACAAGATCGTTTAGATTAGGATTCCTTGGTGTCTGTATAGGAAATAAAGCTATCTGGCTACCAGATCTTCAAAAGGTCATTGCACAATAAAATAGAACCCCAAAAGTGGCTTGAATATTTGGATCAGAAGAATATTATGAGGTGCTATCTACTCTTACATATGTAATGTGTAAGTACTAGTGTTATTATAATAACATTAGTATGGACATACATGTATATATACATACATAGACAAAACACTGGCTCTTTTCTTTTAAGGATGGAAATACTCACTTTGTAAAGTCAGTGGAAGTCTTGTCATTCACTTTGGTTGAGTTAGGACTCAAAAGTATAACAGTAGTCAAGATATCTTCTAAAATTGCTGCTTTTAATGATTTGAGTTTTATAAATGACATGAATTATCAACTGTATAATAGTCTTTTCCTTCCTTCCTTCCTTCCTTCCTTCCTTCCTTCCTTCCTTCCTCCCTTCCTTCCTTACTTTCTCTCTCTCTCTCTCTCTCTATCTGTCTTATTTTGATTAAGGGACAGAAATTCAAACAGCCCACTTACTCAGAACTCTTGTATGGAAAGTCTTCTCTAAATTTGCTGAATAAATGAGTCTAGCCAAAGCAGTGTAATTCTACCAAAATGATACAGTTTATTGCCAATTTTTTCATTATGGTATGTTACTAAAACATTTCTATAAAGATGCATTAGCAGAACAACTTGACTTACTTAAAAATATTTGCAATAAATTGACACCTCTTGGAAAGTACACAAAAATCTCCGAATAGCAGCACTCAACAGAGTGACAATTTAAGGCACATGATCATTTTACAACCTTTTTAACATAAATCTCTGACTAGATCACATATTTGTAAAACATAATTACATACAATTAACTTCAGAGCTCAGAGAGGATTCAGCAGAAGTCACATACACTTTTTTTAACGTTGCTAGGACATAGTGCAGCATAATGAATATCGTTAAAAATTATTCTGTACATGGAGAAAAATATATAGAAAAGACATCAAATATTCTTCATTTTTTCATTTACAACAAAGTGGGCAATAGTTACATGTTACTAGTAATTATGGAATACCCAACTTGACTTTCTCTGACAGAGCTTATCATAAACACACAAAAAAAATTTAAAGATATTTTTCAGCCAGGAAAGCTCAAGAGGAACTGAAATGGCCTCAGCAGAGGTGAACTGGTTTATCGACTGATCACACCAAACTAATTAACTGCTATCTCACATGGTAAAAAAATAAACTGATACACATCGCCAGCTTTAAATCTATGTTACTCTGACAGAAATTAGTGGGCCTCAACTAACTAAAGTACATTGAAGAAGCAAGAAAATACTTGTACCATCAGGACTAGTTCAGAAATCTGGAAGTAAATAGAAAGAGTAAAGAAACAGTGTGAGATAGATAATGAAATCTTATAAATTGCTTTTCTTATATACCCGCATAAACACAGAGAGCAATTGCCATGGAAAAAAAATAAGGAATTATAATCTACTGTATTCTAGCTGGGAGTATTTTTTCCAGTGTGCAAACTGAGGATATGAAAATTTTTTTTAAGGACATGAAACATTTCAAACTGAGAAACTTTGCCAATTAGAGCTCTGATGTAGAGGCAATTATATGAGAAAACATGTTCCAGAGTCCTAAGATCTTCATAAATAATGAAAATTATTCCAAGGATAAGTCTGTTCACTACCGGACTGAGCATTTTATCCTCTGTCTGTTGAACTGTGGCTACGCTGCCCTTTATAATACAGACAAGGCTTAAAGAATTTGGAAGCCAGTAGAGAGCTAAGCAGTTTGTACATAATGCCTTTCCATTTCTCCTGTTGACAAAAAATGGGCTATCATTTGTTTTGCAAAAACCTGCTATAATTCACAGCCTTCTCAAAAGCAAACAGAATCTTGCTGGCTCCTTACAGAAAATACTTCATTTACAAAGACTGTAGTGTTACTGATCCTCTTATTTATTATAAGAACATACAAGAACGTGAAAATTTTGTAACTTTGGATTTAAGAATTATATACACTTGTGTGTGCAACACTTAACTGGTGAGAACTTGCATCTGCTGGTTAGGATTTACAAATGCTTTATTGAGGTAGCCTAGGATTACTCTAACAAGCATGCAGAAAACACAAGGCATAACATGTCTCTTCTTTTGATTGCATGACAGCAATAGCCTCTGTACCATAGCAATAAGAAAGGAAAGTCTTGTTCAAAGCCAACACCATGCTACCAACTTTGTTGTTGGTATTTCAGCATTATGATATGAGACTGGAAGTCAGATTTTGGCACATTCTAAGTGAAAATGTCTGAGATCAGTAATGACCCTGCTATGTGTCTGTGCTGATCACTAAAATTACAGGACATGTTCCAATTAGAACAGGATTGAAATGCTTTACCAAATAGTATATGTATATATATTCAGTTCAGAAAATGTGGTATTTAAATCATGGAATTACAGAATTTACTGGAGCTTTTCAATTTTCAATTGAATCTGTGTCCAAGATGATCATGTACAGCTGTCTGTGGATTGATATCCAAGGACCAGCACTCCAAGTCTGAAAAAGCATAGGTTATGTAAATGGGTTTGTATATGACAATTGCCATTGCAGCTCTGCAATTTGAACTAGCCTAGCAGGCAATATTAGCAAAGAGCATAAAGATAGATAAAAGCTATGGGCCTGAATTTTCACGTATTGCTTCACTCTTAGAGGACAAATCGGTAAATCTATGATTGGACATCTAACACAGAATCAGCCAGAGCCCACTTCAAAGTCTCAGTAGGTATAGGGAAACAACCACACATTTCCACAGATAAAATAAAATTTACCAAAGAAAGCTGCTGTTGAATCCAGCATTTAGTAATACAGATACTTCCCTGAAGCTGACTTAGCTCACTTACATTCATGTGAAGTAGAAATAAGGTACACATTAGGATCAAGGAAGCGGTTAAACACTCATCCCCTATTAATGTCAAAGAACCTTTACAGCTTATAACCACTGAAAATGTTGAGACCAAGTCTCAGGACTGGAGTCAATTAAGGGCAAAGCAGGCTGGCATGCAGTATCATACATGAATGAGAATTCTTAGAGTTTTCATTTTTATTTAGTTTTCATATAAGCTAGCTTTGATAATAGGAGTCTAATGCAATTTTATTGACTGTCATTTAACAGAGAAGTGGAGAGGGGCTGGGGATAGAAAGTTCACAACACAAGCATACTGCCTTTATACAGTACTTTGAAACATGGACATCCTGAGTCATCGTGGCACTAACTCTTGTGTCAAAAATGGCATCGAGAGGCCATTATCCCAGAAAGTGCATTATACATAAATTAACAAGATAATCCAACGGAGTATTTGGAAGATGTCTTCCAAAGCAGCAGGACAAATGACAAATATTTACACTTCTGTGAGGCTATTTAAAATAGAGCAGCTTAATTAAGAATACAAAATTGCTTGTGGTTACGTAAGATAAAATTATGAGCTAATTCTGGATATTCTTTCATTCTAATACCACTGAGTTGTGGAAGTGATGATGAATGAAGGAAACGACCATCCAAGAGACCCGGACAAAATTTCAAAATGCAGGACTTATCCCTCCCTGCAAAGATTTCTGCCAGAATCAGTACCTCATGATTACTCAGTAACACACATATTCAGAGCAGTAAAATACTTTTTCTTTAGTTTGCACTTATGAAAGGCACTGATCCATTTCAGCTGGAGTAGAATTAGCAGGCAAGAGGCTAACCACTGACTTCTCCTACATTAATTTCATACAACATAAATACTGAACCCCACTAATGAGGCAAAAAATGCAGCCCATTTTTGTTAAAAGTATTTACTGGGAATGTATGGCATAACAGATCATTTATATATTAAAAAAAAGAATACTTCTTGTTTTAGCCTTCCAAAAATAATGTTTTTTTTTGTAACAGTCTACACGAAAAAATAACAAGGAGGCATATTTTTCCTTCATTATGCACCCTTTCAATATGAACGTGGACTTAAAACTGTAAGTGCAGCAGAAAACCTCCAGAATTTCTGACATCGTGGGATGCCGCTTCCTTTCCATCCCAAATCATTCTACAGTAGGCCCTGTGAACCAAGTTGTTTCTCTCAAATTTTACAGAAAACCTTTGTTCAAAGTATTCTCTCTCAGTTCCTCCTTTCAGGTAAGTCCTGGCTCACAACTGTGTTTCCTCTTGCTCCAAAGAATGTGGAGGGACATGGCAAGATGCTGGAAGAGATGCTAGTTTTTGAAGCTTCGGGTGTTGAAGAGGTTTTGGCTTGTGAAATGAACGTCGGCTTTGTACACGCCTGGCTGCAATGGATCTGTAATTTCCTTGTACATCAAGCAACATTTTCTTCTCCCTGGGCTCCTTCATGTAAGGGTCTTCCAACTCTTCAGGTATAAGTAGAGAATTCTCTTCTTGTGAATTCTCTGACTTGTAGCTAACTTCAGAACAATAACCAGAGTTTATCGTCTCTTTGTTATCTGTATCTGCATCTGTTTCCCAGAAAAGATCAGGTACACTTGGGTCACAAGAAGCTATGTATTCAGAGACAGTAGAAAGAGATATATTCCCTCTGTTTTCCAAGGAAGAATAGTTTTGTGTCCAAGGCATTTGAAGACAAGATGGAAAGAAGTGGAGGGGATTCTCTGAAACACTTTCATTTTGGTTTAGTTGGTCAGATGTATAAGGAGGAAATTTGTCATCTGAAGAGGAGTATTCTGTCATTTCAACATCTTGGTCCATATCACCTAGAGAGTACAATTAAATAGAAACATTTGTACATAGATATGTTGTATATTACTATTCTGGCTAATAGGCTTTTCTTTTGGCTATTTTTATGAGTGTCTTATTAAAACGAGTGGTTTAAGACCATTTTTGAGCTAGGGAACTGTACCTTGTTCCTGTTTCTATCTTGAATAACCTAAAATGAGCCTTTTGTCCTCGTTGAGAATCAGGCAAAGCTGAGCTTAGTATTTGCAATGAATGCAGCCTGCTTCAACACTTAGGAGATGGAGTCATCATCGGGTTATTGTAGTGCATTTTTATCTTGAGACATTTATTCCTAATGCTTACCAAGGAAATCTTTTGAAAGAAATTGCGCTCTTTAAATAAAGAAACAGAATGTTTCACCAGAAAATCCAACTTATTCTTAACTGTCATCTATGATGCTTTTTGTTTAGACTATGAAGAAAATCTTCACATTCCCACATTTGGTTTCCAATTTACTTTGGTTTTTAAAATCTTTTAATTGAAATTTTAATAAAATTTTCCTATTAGGAGGATTTCATTAAGTATGTAATTGAGAGGACTGTTTCTGAGAATAATCAAAGTCCCAGATTACTTTCTCAGGAAACCTAACTTCCCAAAATACTTCTAAAGAAACACAGCGCTCAAAGCCCACAAACCCTGATATTTTAAAGATACCTGCACAAAAACACATACATAGCAGTTTCTAATAATACAGTCACTTATAATATGGGAACAGAAGTGAGAAAAAGAATAAAGGTTAGAAGTTAAATTTGGAAAGTATTATGGTCAATAATTTATGACAAACTAAGTGGGAAAAAGGAGAGGAAGATTTCAATGTGGCTAAGTGTCAAGGAGAAGTTTTCCTTGTAGAACACTGCTTGTTATTCAAGCTTTTAATTAGGATACCAGAATTTAATTCACAGCTCTTTAGTTAATCCAACATTTCTTTTAAAACACGGTTTTAATAAAACAATCAATGATATGTTATATGAAACTGAATATTCAAACAAACTCATCCCTACAGGTTTCTCCATTAAAGTGATGTACTTTCTGTAATTACACTTGAACTAGCACACCTTCTGCAAGACATAAGCCAGAACAGAATAAAATCAGAACTTCCTTTCCTCTTTATTTTCCAAAGATTATTAAATTCTTTTCAAAACAAAATTATGCAATGTTCACTCCTATACTGAGATCTTTGTCTGAAAAAAGTTTCATCAATTAAGTACTTTCAACTTGCCACATTCCTTTATTTGTTGATGAACAGAATGCACTAGGTCACATGTTTGTGATCATGGATTCTACAAAAGCTAGACAACTGACTGGCACATTTCATTGCATAATCAGTGCCCTATGTTCTATTCAATTATGGTGGTTGAACTGTGACCTGACCCACCTCATTTACTGCACTGACTCTGTAGATTATAGAAATGAAGTCTGATTTTATGATGTGGAAAATTTTTATAGAGCAAGAATTAAAGGGCAACTGGGATATTTATATAAATCCAGAGTTAATTTATTTTTAAACCTCTAAGAAATTAGAGGCAATGTTATTTACTGTACCAAATTTAATTATTTACTGTGTCAAATGTTTTTCTGCTTTTAAAATAGGATATGGATTAAGAGAAATTTAGATCTCTAAGATCATCCAGTCCCAACATCCACCTATCACCAACATTTCCCACTACACCACATCCCTCAGTACATCTAAATGTTTCTTGAACTCCTCTAGGGACAGTGACTCCACTGTTTCCCTGGGCAGCCCGTTCCAGTGCCTGACCGCTCTCTCAGAGAAGTGGCATTTGCTAATGTTCAACTTGAATCTCCCCTGGCACAACTGGAGGCCGTTCCCTCCAGTCCAATCACCAGTTACACAAGAGAAGAGGCTGACCTCCAGCTTACTACAGCTCCCTTCAGGTAGTTACAGAGAGCAACGAGGTCTCCCCGAGTCTCCTCCAGACTGAACGTTCCCAGCTCTTTCAGCTGCTCCTCATATGGCCTGTGTTCCAGACCCCTCACCAGCTTTGTTGCCCTTCTCTAAACACGCTCCAGGGCCTCGATGTCTTTATGGTGAGGCTTCCAAAACTGAATACAGTACTCAAGGCGTGGCCTCCCCAGAAAGAAGTACACAGGGATGACCACCTCCCTGTTCCTGCTGACAACACTATTTCTGATACAAGCTAGGATGCCACTGGCATTCTTGGCCACCTGAGCACACTGCTTTCTTATGTTGAGCCAAGCATTGGCCAATACCCTCAGGTCCATCTACACAGTATTCAAGCCACTCTGCCCCAAGCCTGTAGTGTTGTCTGAGGTTGCTCTGGCCAACCTGCAGGACCCGGCACCTGGTCTTGTTGAACTTCATCCCATTGACCTCAGCCCAGCTATCCTGCCTGTTCAAATCACTCGGTGCTTCTATTGTACACCAAAATGTAATAGAGTCCAATGAGTTAAATGACTGATCTGACCTTTTCCAGGCAAAATGTATCTTTTGACATCAGCAGATAGATTGCTTTTATGTTGCTTCATCCTGTCTTTGCTTACGTGTGAAGACAGTCCTGACAATGTTAGTTGAAAGAACAACTGTTTTTTTAAGAACTTGAATCAGAATTACATCATGTCAGGGAATTCAAATATGAGTTTTATCTTCTAGAGCTGACTAACCAAGAAAAATGAAGTCTCTTGAAACTGGATACAAAAACATTTGGATGTTAGGAAAACTTCCTGCTTGGCATTTTAGAATTTACAAGACAAAACAAAGAGCAAGAACATTTTCTGCTCTAAAAATGGTACGGCTTTTGACCTCAAATAGATGGGCAAATCCTCAAATAGAAAGAAGTTTTGTTATTCAAACAGAAGGAAAAAGTCAGGAAATAAAGAGACACCGGGAGAAGAAAAATCAGAAAAATAATCTTGTCAGTACTCAGGCTTCATACTGATTGAGATTGATTAAAAACAAAGGTGATAATCTCTCTTAAAATATTACATATGTGTTGATTCTGGGAGAAAAGGCCTGGGTTGTTCCTCTGGGCCATCTGCTAGCAGGAAAGAATCTATTGATTTATTGCTGAGCCGGAACGGAGTGAGCCGTCTGAAGTTGTTTGGAGAATAAGGGATCTGCACTCGGGCCCTTTGTGATGGTACCACAGTATCTTCACTAGACAACCATGGTGAGAACTTCATGTAGATGCTTTGATCATCATCAGCTGAAAATACTGGGTTATCAATTCCTACAAAAATTCACGAGTGACAAACACAGTTAATCAAAATGATTTCTTGGTGACACAGAAAGGTGCTTTGTAAAAGAGGAAAAAAAATAGGCAAAAAGACTATTATATAATCAAAGGTTGCTTTTTCTGGCTTGGTTACAGCTAGTTATTTTGGATTTTTTTTATATATAGTGAAGAACTGTATAAAATATGCAGTTATGATTGAGATATCTGGAGAAAATAAATAAAATCGCTAAAAGAATAAACCAACTCATCCCCTAAGCAAAACAAATCAAAACATGAAATAGTTGCAGAAAAAAATCAGAGCAAATCCATAAAAAAGAAGGAAAAGATGACCAAAAAATGCAAAAACATGAGCTGCACATCTCCATGAAGGAACAAGATGTGTGTGAGGGCACTGAAATAAGGCACTGAAGTAAAAGGAGCCTTTTAATATAAATACCTTTTAATATAATACCAGACAAAAATTGTAAAATCAGTCTAGGCCTGCATTTTGCTAGTCACTTGCTTTTGGATTGATTTCAGTATGTCTTTATAAATATTCAAATGTGGAATTTGTTGCTGGGCAGTTAAAATATTGTATCACCCTGTTTGTCAAAAGAGTACAGACACGAAGATTTTTCTTCAGTGTATGAATGGCATTACATATGCTGATAATTCAGACACTAAAGTGCTAAAGAGATGCTAAACCTTAGCACCGTACAAATCACATCATATACTATCTCTTATATGTAGTGGTTTACTTTCAGTATGGTATTTTGGAGCCTTCCGGGTCAGGAATTTAGGTCCAATGAATACTCCTAAATATCTGGAAATCTGCACTTTTCTGTGACTTCTGTAAGTCTGCAGGGAATTGAAGGACTTGTGAATTTAAGAAATACTGCATGAAAGAAGAAATTTGGAAGATATCGTTGCAAAGTACTTTTATGCAAGTAGAAATCAATTGGCCTGGTGAGGTAGGACAACACTAACATTTTCTGTTGCTGAAGATAATTTAGATCTTAGGGTTAGGCAGTCATTTTCGCATCTCCTGTCAGTATTATCAATAGCAATAGCAAATTTGATGCTCTCCATAATTTCACATACTTGAAATTTGTTACCTTTGCCATAATTTTAAGCAAATATCAACCCTCAGAAAAGAGATCCAATCAAAACAAACAAACAAGCAAAAATACAGGCTAAACCTGCAGCATTTCTAGTGATTGTTTTTATATTTGAGTAAAAAAATACTGCATGCAATTAATATTTTTACCAGCAGGGTTATCTGTGAAATTTTGCTTGGTCACGTTAGCCAGAAAATCAACTCCTTTGCCTAGATGCAAAGTTTCATAATCATTATTTTCTTCTGCTTCAGAAAATTCCGAATCTGGAACAACAGCAATCAAAAACATAAGCCCAGTTTGATCGGAGATTTCTATCAGTACTGATGAATAAGTGAAAGAGCATTATGTCATATTATATTGGTACAGTTACCAAAGATTAACAGTTGTAGCGCTGGCATGACTGTGTGAATGTATTTGCAAACTGCAGTTTAGGTACCAATTATTTTGAGAAACTCAACAAGGCTTTCAGGCTTTCACTGTTACCTGGTGTTATGATAGAGATTTCACATTCTGAATAGACTGTTGGCTAATAGAACTCTATATTTTTCTGAGTCTGAAGGAAACAAACTTTCGATGCACGACTACTGGTGCTGTTATATTTTTTGTCTTACTTTCTCACATCTAGAGAAACGTAGTCCCTTGAAATAACTTGTTACTGATTTTTCATTATTAGAATCAAAGAAACATACAATGACCTTGGGTTGAAAAGGACCACGATGATCATCTAGTTTCAATCCCCCTGCTACATGCAGGATTGCCAACCAGCAGACCAAGCTGCCCAGAGTCAGTTAGACAGAGGTTGACACTGGAACCCTGACTAATTTCAAAGCTGATGAGGTCACTGCTGCTTCTATCATCATCAAATCAGTTTTACATCACCTTCTAAACCACTTGTTAAGTATGTCCTCTGAAGAAGTCTTTATTTTTTTCCAATAGATGCAATACATGCATCCAATACATGCAGAGTCCTTCAACAAGACAGCATTGAATGAACTAATTACAAATCTTTGGAAAACACTTTCTATGCAAGGATGTTCTAGAATGTTATGTCTATTTCAGCCAGCATGTATTGCCCCTGCCAGTCAAAAAAGTAATGTTCAGAAGATGTTTTAGGTAGCATACATAAAGAAAAAACTTTGCTTGGATCTAAAGAGAAAAAATGACTCTCTCTGCTTTACTTCAGCTTTCTTTGAGATTAAGAGTGTGAATAAACATAAGAAAGACCACAAGTAAGGGTTAGTTCAGTGGGCTTTAAATCATGTTTCAGTTTTTAAGTGGCACATTCTCATGAAGGATTAACCAGTACTCAAACTGACCTCTGACAGTTTTCCCTTCAAATCTGCCTTCTCTCCCCAAGTTCTAACTTCAACTCAGCTTCAACTCTGATTCAGACTCTTCTAAATAAATAGGTGTTAATTCAAAAAACATTTCCACTCTGACTGAACTTTGCATGGTGTGATGTCATGGATAGGCATACCTTACTTGATGAAAAAAAAAATTTAGCAAAACTTGCTCTATGCAACTTATGTAAAAGTAAGCAGAAAGTTCAACTATGTTGCAGCTAGCGCATTGTTTTGTTTTCAGGATTTGAACAAGGTATTTTACAACTATAAGTAAGAACACTAATTCAAGTTTGATTTGTCATTCAACAGCCTGGGGGAAAAAAAAGAAAAAAAACAACTTCTTAATGTTCCAGATACTGTTTTAAGTATGGACTAGATCCCCACTCTCTAAGTTACGACTAGAAGTCCCTCTCTAATAGCTTCACCACTGCATATCATTAAATTTTTAAAGGGATTATTTACAGACAATGTAGCTGATGAAATACTACTGATCTAAAGGTCTTTTTACCTTTTTCCTTCAAAGTATAATCTTGTACAGGATTTTCTGACGGTATTTTTCCATTTGGTATGACATTGCTGTTTCGCTGAAAGAAAAGAAACAAATTAAATGAACAAAAATGCTACCAACATCTTAGAGCTAAGACATTCTTTGAAATCACTGTTGAGCAGCATTATCCTGATGTCTGTTGCAATCTTTTTTTGAGGTTCAATATTATTGTCATCAATTTGCTACCCTATACTGGTACAGGAAAAAGAAGGAACTTGGTCTTTTCATACGACGCAAGTTCCTGGATTCATGCAAATTTTGTGAAATGATGAATGCTATGTCTGTCCTGGAAAAGCTCCCCACAGTGTTCTAGCATGGCTCCAAATCTGCTGTTTCTCAAGCGATCAAAAAACTCTCAACCAAAAGAGTCCCAAAGCATGGAGAAAAGCAGTATATAAGAAGATGCCCCTTGATTCATAGTTCAATCTTTTCTCGCTTAGACCCTTTAAGTTACTGAAGTTCTACAAGACAGAGATAGATGCAGGACGTAGGAACCTTGAGAATCCTTCCTGCCCTCCCTTTGTTTTGTATACTAGGTGGCTGCATCTGGGTCCTTGTGCAGATACTTTACCCTTTTTTGGCCCCGTTCTCTTTTGTGGATTTTATTCAGCTTCTTGGGATGATTTATTCCTAGTTTAGTACTCTTGAAAGATTCCAAGCGCTTCCTCATTGTCCTGTGGAAAATCTCCTTGTCTTGTTTCTCATCTTCATTGTGCATGATCTCATGTCGACTGTACAGATGTTTGTGCTGTTACGAGGAAAGGAAGACAATATTATTTATTTAGAAATAGAGCTGGAAGCCATATCAGTGCATTCAGCTTGTGTCATGAAAACAAAAACAACTCCTTTTAAGAATGAACCAAAGCAGAGTCTAAAGGCATTCTATCTTTTTTTTTCCCTCTTTCCTCGTGTAGGAATGCATGATAGTCATTCAAAGTAAGCTTCTCTCTATAATGTCTAAACTACTTTGATCTATACAACCCATTTATTCTTAACTTATATTGGACCTAGTTCTGTACTGTGTTAGCCCCACACTCACACTAGACCCTTTCTGTTAAAAAGGCCTGTAGGTCAGTATGTGACTATATACACAAAGCCTAACTCCCTCAAGAGTGCAATTTGCAGTTAAGATCTTCCCTTCTGAGTTTTGATTTCATATTTTTGGTTTCTAATATCCTAATCTTTGGATTTTAAAAAATACTAATGCAAGTCTTCTGCTCTCACCTCCTGCCTGGGCTTATATAGGTACTGTTGTAGGGTGTGATGTGCAACTGTGTCTTCTGTGTCCCGAATACTTTTCCTCCTCTGCTCTAAAGCTTGCATGTCAAGGCAAACCGGTCCAGCCTTTTCTCTCCTGAAGAAGAATAAAAAACAGAAACAATTTACAGATGAAGTTCATATAAGTAATAACTAACTAAATAAATGTCAAAACTGGTTGAATCAAAATATCTAATGCAAAAAATGAGGAAAGTGTTGATATTGTCTTTCAGGAGGTTGTCAACATTTATTTCTCTATGTATATGGCAGGTGGGCTGTTGTGTGAACAAGACAGGAAAGAATTAAGGAAGCAGCAATTTTTTTCCTTGACTCTCCCTAAAGTTTTCTGGAGCAGACACAGAAATGCTGTCTGGTTCTGTCTACAGCAATTGGTGAACAAAAGTCACAAGAAACAATTCTAATGGGGTACTCTGCTTCATCTTACCAATCTTTACTTCAAAATTTGTTTGCAAAATGCAACAGAATAATGTTAATAATAGTATTTTATCAGCTATTTTATGTGGGAGGAAGAGATTAATTGTAGTTCATAAAATTTGAATGAAGCCCCTGTAATTCACATTTTTCAGACATTGTAACTATCTTTTTTGCATTTCATCACACACAAGAAAACAAAACAAGCAGAAGACACAATCAATCAGTACAAGTAACTTACAGTAAATAAGATACAGAACTTTCCACAGTACTTGGACGCGGGGTATTGAAATCCACATTGACCATGTTGTCTGTACTTGGAGAACGTATAAATGCTAAGGAACCTCTACGCTCTCCCTGGCCAAAGAAAGAAACAAGACACATTACAGCTGTAAACGCGTGCAGTAAAATGTGGATCAAAAAATGCAGATCATATAATGCTATTATATGCAAATGGCACAAGAAATAAAAGAGAAGTTGCATTTAGGAAATGATAACAAACTATTTTATTTTGTTTTGTTGTTAGGGTTTATTTAAGTAATTGACATCCCAGTGAAAAAAAGCTAAGAGAAAAAGCTTTCTGATCTTGTAAATCAGTTTTAGTGAGGTGAGTGATTTGTTAGGCCTAACCTGTTTGAAAACTATGCCCTTGTTCTTTTGCAGGCTAACTCCATCCTTCAGGGATGGACCTTTACTTTGTACCACCTTGCAACCCAAGCACATTGGCATATATGTGTAAAATTTTAGGACTCCAAACATCACTTCACTAACAGCAGTGTTTTCAAAGACATTGCACTATGTTTCCTATTTTCTACCAGACTGGAAACAGCAAAAGTTACGTAGTGTATAAGTCTACAAGACTACTTGTGGGTTATCTGGTGAAGAGGTGAGATACTAATAGAATCATGAAACCATGAAACGCCATGGGAAGGACTGCCAACCACTAAATCAGGCACTAGATCAGGTTGCCCCAGGGCCCCATCCAACCCGGCCTAGAACACTTCTAGGGACAGAGTATTCAATATTTCTATGAACAACTAGTTCCAGCGCCTTTCAGCTCTGACTGAAAAAATTCTCCCCAGTATTTAACTTCAATTTTTTCTCTTTCAGTTTAAAACTCTTCTCCCTTGTTGTATCATTATCAGACACTGTGAAATGTCTGTCTTCCCTCCAATCATATGCTCCTTTTAAGTACCGGAAGGCTGCAATGAGGTCTCTCTGGAGCCTTCTCTTTTCCAGGCTGAAAAAGCCCAGCTCTCTCAGCCTTTCCTCATAGAAGAGATGCTCCAGTCCTCTGATCCTCTTCATGGCCCTCCTCTGAATCCACTCCCACAGCTCTGTTTCTATATTGCAAAGGTAAGCTTTGTAATCAGTTCTGAAACTGGTATTACAGAAGTGAGTTTCTGGGAAAGCTCAGATTTCTATCTTCATGGTTTTCCCTACCATTTGCACAGTCTTTTACTTAGGTGGAAGTTAACTGTTGAGAGACCATGGTTATGTAAACTGCTGTAGCAGAAACACTAAGTCATGGCCTAAAACAGGGATGGAGCACCTGGTGGGAACGCAGGGCCAACCCAGGGCATGCAATGTACCTGAGTGACTGGAAGGGGTGGAACCAGGATCCACCCCCTCCCAGACCTTATTTAAGGGTTGGCAGTGGAGGCAAGTGTATTTTGCCAGAGGTCTTCTGTAGGTGAGCAGCTTTTTTCCTTTGTGACTGCAGCAGCTTGGGCTTACCATGACTTGCTGCAGCCTAGGACTCTGCTACCCTGCTGTCACTGCTATGTTTTCCATATCATTATAGCATTACAACTGTAAACATCTATGGTTTATATCAGAGCAGAAAATCATGTATTAGATATCTATATTTCACAATGTAGTAAAGAATACAATCTCCCTTATGCAATATCGAAAGAGATTTTATCTGTTTTTTTCCATCTACATTTCATTCACTTTATATTTTTGTAGTCGCAGAGAATAAGACAAACATTTCCTTGTACTATGGTAGCTCACGTGTATGTTACGCTAGAACAGATGTATCCAACTGCAAGCCAAGCCTGTCCTCACGTTAATCCCCTGCCCCAACCTATCATGCTGGTGGTTCTGTCCCATTGAGTGGCCTAGCCTTGCCCTCAGTAAGCACCCATCTTTCAGCAGTGGCCAACCAGTAGTGTACTGTTTACACTGTTTGAGCTGGAATCAGGACACTGGAGGGTGTAGAGCAATGCTAACTCAAGTTATGGTATATAATTTTATGCATTTTGATACATTTGCTAAATGCGGTCCTGTGAACAATGAAAGGTAAGCCTTGCTTACCTTTTTCATAAAGGAATTTGAGAATAGGTTTCAAGACCGTAGAAAAAACCATTAATTTTTGTTATATTTGTGACTCTATTTTCATTTGACATAAATACACTATCTGCAAATTTTCAAGAGGAATGTACGTAGTTGCAAAATCAGATAGTCAACTCAAAAATCCAATCATGCCTCTTCATTAGGCTTCCATAAGACCTATATTGCCAGAGAAAGATATCCCTCGCTTCACAATCATGCCTTATTCTTGTCATTGCTCTTTGGAAGTATGTATATTTGTGAATAACTGTTTTCAAGGATTAGGTATAGGAGTAAAATTTCACCAAAAATCTCTGACACACACCTTAAGAACTCATTAAGAATGGCAATTGCCTACAGGAAACCAGACTGATGTATTAGTTTCAAAAAAACAAGCTCAAATATCCCCCTAGTCTTATGTTATTGTTGATTTTTTTGTGGTGTGTCTTATTGAATATATAGATATATATTTAAAAAGTTTTGCTATTTATATACAATAGCTACATTTTATATGCAGCTCAAGACAATTCCTCTTCACTCAGTGCAGTCCAGGCAAGCCAAAGATTGGATGCCCATGCATTAAAGGCCTAACTGGCAGTGCCTGCCTTCACTCTCAGTGCCTGCAGCCTTCTGACCTGGGGGCCCAGTGCTGTCATCTCTCTTGTACTGCTGATAGCTGTGCCCCCACATGCACCGGCATTCTGCACTCTTTTATGCTATAACTGCAGAGGAAGAATAACTGCTTGCATTATGTGCTTGCAAGACATGAAGCCTGGGGAGACCCCCATCCTAACGATGACTTACAAGAAGGCTGCCCCACTTGCTGCTGGCCCCACTTCTCCATGCAGCACCTTACAACTCTTCACCATCTCACAGTGATGAATTCATGCTGTGAGTCATGTGTTGACGGACAGCCTCCTGCAGCCTTCTCCTACAGTGCCTGCTGCCAGCCCTGCCTTTGGCTACTGGAAATATAAATCATCACCACCAGGAATAAAAATATTTCCGTGTGCCATGCGTTTTTCACAAAGGTTCATTCTTTACAGGCTGTGTGACATACTTGGAGTCTATCTAGTTGTGAAACTGCAGTGTCTCAGTTTTGGGAAACTATATCTTGAAACATATGGTAGTATTAGTTGTCCCACAAAAGTTATCACTACATCACTAGAAGCAATAAGAAAGAATAACTTTCATCTTTATAGTTACTAATGAAATTTACTTAGAGCTTCTCTGTGAAGAAGACAGATTTAAGAAACGTTAACAATATTTATTTCATATTTTTTTTATAATTTTATCTTCTCTTCTTTAATTTAAAAAAAAAAAAAAAAAAAAAAACCTAGAAAAAAATTGTTATTTATCTACATTAACTACGTTATGTATTTTACACAGCCCAAGGCAATTCCTCTCAGCTCAGTGGGGCCAAGTTAAGACAAAATGTTGGACACCCAGGAACTAGTATCTGTTGAACCAGTTCAGTAGTAGGTATAGTTTGACCCCTGTAGAAATTAAAGAGGGATAATAATAAAAAAAAAAAGCATCATCTCAATTGTTTTATTATGAGCATCTGACTTCTTTTAGAATGAAGTATAATGTTTCATAGATACCTTATATCATATCATCTGTGGAGGAATTTTAGCCAGAAGAAGACATGATCTGTTGTATCATTCCAAAAGGTCCTTTAGCCCTTCTTAGCACTGAAAAAAATGTGGTCATCACAGATAACTGAGCTGCTGTTTGCAGGATGAATCTGTAGAAGTCATACTAATGGTTCCATGAAATGTTTTGTGTTAAAAAAAAATACATTTTTTGGAACTAGAAGTAATACTTCATGCTAGAAGTCTTATAGCTCCTTTGAAAAAGTTGTTGATAGCTGATATCTAAATCCTTGCTGATCTTTTATACTTTTTCTTGTATATTGAGCAATGGTGATGCACTACCAGAACATAATGCTCTAGCACTTTTTGCTCAGAGATTATCTGGAATCAGTGCTTTTAGGGAAAAAACTCATCTTATCTGAGTCAGATGCCCACTGAAACATGAAGAGACTCATGCTTTTTTTTATTGAATAAATGCAGCATAACAGCATGAATGAAACTTTTTGTAGAGCCTGGAAAGCTTTAAATTTCTTTGTTTGTTCTTAGCAGATGAGCAAACATTTGTAATTTGCCTTCAAGACACAATCTACACAAATATTATTTGAACTCATCAAAAGAACAGCCTCCTTGTATCATACCATATATTATGTACAATGAAAAAAAGGCTGTTCTTTCAAACAGTGAATAATCTAACTTAATTTTACACTAGTGTATGCTGTTTATGACATTATTGGGTAAAGATTCTGCTGATAAATCTGCATAGCTTAGCAATCAGTACAGCCACTCACATCTGTTAAAGAAAAAAAATGTAATGAATCTACAAAACAGACTCAGCAGTGAATCTGAGCATGTGTATCATGCTTACCATCCTCATCAACATCTAATTTTCCTCCTTAGAGGCGTGACCCAGGAAACACCTTGGGAAAGAAAATTTGTTCTCAAGCAGTCTGAAAACTTTATGGATAGTTTAAAAAACATAAATCTGAGAAAGTTGTTTATTTTGTGAAGTAATCCCCAATTTTCACACTAAAATAATTTCTGATTTTGATCTTGTTTTGCAAATTTGATATTTGAAATTCTGTGTTTCATTGTAAGAAGTCTAACAGGCTGTAGTACATTCACCAAAAATGACATTATTATCAGTAGTGGGAGTGAAATAATTTATTTTAATTAATGAAACTAACTAGTCTGTTTCTCAGCTGTAAAATAAAAATAAAAATAGAACAAAAGAAAAAAGTACATTTAGAGATTAATGCTTTAGATTGATTATCACTTCAAACATCACTTTTAAACATTCCTGTTTAAAATTATCCTTTGCACCATGTGAATGCTGCATACCTGTGTTGATCTAAACTAAGCCAGCCAACATAGTGATGAAGAAGATAAGGAATTCATACACAATCTGTTACATTGTTTTGGTTTGGGAATGATACTAAAGCAGAATGGCAGTTCTTCTTCCATTTAGTAACTTCTGTACTTTACCCTGCAAGTCATAAGTTTTGTCATTGCATTTACTGTCATTCTAATCCTAATTTTTGAAATGTAGGTATTATTCTGCCATTGAAATAAACTGCTCTCTTGCTGATCTCTCTCTATAATAATAATGTGATCTTGCATAATAAGATAACACTAAAGTCAAATGTTCACACCATGTGGAAATGAGATTCTTCAAATCAAATTTACCGTCACATATAGTCGGTATTCTATAGGGAAAAGACAATATTTTACCTGATCCATTTCTGATTGCGGTGTTTCTTGATGCAATGAATACTGATAAAAAAATTCTTCAGAAAAATTCAACAGAAAAATACACCAACAAATGTATAACATACTCATCTTGGGGTTCAGGCATAGTACTGAGAACTATGGTTACCCAAACTGGTGGTAACAAGACTCATAACTCTTAAATTCCACTTAGATAAAACAAATGAAAAGTTTTGTGTTTTTTTTTTTTTTTAAGACATCTCCTGCAAAATATCATCTTTAGATTACACTGTAAATTAAAAATAAAAAAGAAAGAAAGAAAGAAAAACTAGAAAGGATAAAAAGTAAGTATTTATAAGTACCTCAGCCACATAGCTAATTGCATCCTTCAAGTTGAGTTCATGGAAAACATTAAGGATTTGGTCTCTTGATTTTTGAGCAGATCTTCTCATCAGGAGTTTACTGAGGAATTTCCTATCAAAATTGGACCACCTGATAATTGAAACAAACCATGTTAAGGGCAGCAAGCAATTGTAGTGCCTGAGCATTTGTAATTTATCAGAAAAGACCATTGTGTGAGCTAACAGCATTTAGTCAATGTCGAGCATAAAAATGTGAGGGTTTGTATTTTGAAGCTTTTCAAATAACAGCTAAAGAAAGGAAAAACCTGGTACAGCTAGCTATGCAGCTGTCACTAAGCATTTAATAGGTTCACTTAACAAATACTACTGCAGCAGCACAAGTGCTATGATTAACGTATCCCATTTCATAGTCACTAGAACACTTCACATACTCTGGTAAATCATGCTACCTTCTTTTCCACTCATGATTATTTACTATTATACTTAAAACCTTCATTCTGAAAGTTCAAGTTTCTTTCCTTTATTGGAAGGAAAAGTACATTTCCACAGCTGTATTGTGGTAACCCAGACTAGAAAGCCAGTTTCCAACCATTGTACTCCAAAAGCACAGAGAGAGGGCCTCATTTCATGCTGTTTGAGTGCTCTAGGAGATAGAAGTGGTACATGTTTGCTGTGATGTTCACTTCCAAGATCGTCTGATAGTAAGATATTTGTTATTTTGTGCTTATGTTCCAGAATTGATCATTATTCCTCTTCTCTAGTCAGAACATCTGAAAATCAGTTTCCAGCTGTTACACCTGAGCATATTACTGAAAAAACTGGGATACTGCCATTTCTTTGAAGAAGTAATATTTCCATGTATATATAGCCTAGAAGAAGCAGACTGAATGTGGTCTCATTCAAAATATATTTCTGCACACTACTGAGAACCTACGCTAAGCTACTAAGAGAAGGCTTTTGTTACTCAAGCATATTACCTTCTGCCATATGAGAAGACAAACTGTAATGTGCCACTTTAAAAATGTTTAGTTCCACCTTTAAGTCAATATTTCAGACCTGATGATGTATTCCACTGCAATGTAATATTCTGAAATTCTTTCCTAAAGTGTATGTTAAAGATTATCAAAAGAAAAAAAGATGTTCTATTTGGGATGCCTAGTGAGAATTCTTCACTGCATAAATGAACACCAGACAAAAGAAATACATATTATTTCAATGTGTAATTGCAGATATTATGGAGGGATATATTATAAAATAAATTTTATGGCTTTCCTCCAAAAAAATGAAAAAAAAAATGAAACAGTGACAACTGTCTCTATGACTGGGTACAGTCAAGTGAGCGATTTTGCTTGTTCTCACAAGTAGCTAGATACAATCTAGCTCCAGCCTAGAAGTCATTCACCTGCATGAGTATAATGCTAAACCTACACTGTTTTCAGCTTCTCAGCAAGACTTAGAGGAAAGTTCTGCAGATGATTAATGCAACTGAATGACTTTTAGACTGGAATTGACATGTTGAGTCAGAACATCAGCAAGTCACAACTATGACTGTCTGCATCTATGTTATGACCTAAGTCCAGAGAGACAGTCTAACCCTAAATGACACTGTTAAAGAAGTCCAGATTTAACATCATTTTTTGACATTTGTTCATCTAGCTTATGGAAGCCTGCCCCTCTTAATGGTAGTTCTTCACATTCTTTTATGAGAATAGTGTCTGTATCATTCAAGTGCATAATTTTTCTTCTCTCAAGATGAGCAAACAATTGCAGTTGAGATATTTGCTGTCCCTACTTTCACAGGCTTGCAGGCTTAAAAAGTCGTAATTTACATATAAAATTTCCCAGCAGTATTTCAAACTCTACAAGTTAGTTAAGTTAGTTACTGCTTACTTGTCTCTCAGATAGTTGTGTCCTATTTGTCCAGAGATGTCTTCTATAGCAGAAAGAATGTGATCAAAGGCCTAGAAAAGTAGAAGCGGAATTAGTATCACACGTACATTAAAGGCATAATTATAAAATATCTGTATTTATGTCAGGTTAGACCAAGTAACTCTGTAGAAAATTTTTATTGCTGCCAAGCAGATTTTTTTCTTTCTGTACAGAAACTCTTACTACCATATGCCTTTCCTCGAAGGTCTGAGCCTTCTAACCACTCCTTTGCAAATTCACTGACTACTCATAATTTATGAATTAACTCAGCAAGAAGGTACTTAAGCCTTCATTTTATTGACATTCAGTTTTAGGACTCATTATCGACTCATTTTACATCTCCATTTCTACCCTTTAATGTAATGAGTCATTATTAGCGTTGATGATTCAAGTTAGTTGAAAGTATTTCCTAATACTTTTTTTCTTTTAGATTTTTCTGTATCTTCCCCCAGGGCAGAAGTAGAAGTCATTCCTTTAGTATCCAGAGCAAAATGTCATAGTTTATTTATTATCACATGGTTGATAACAATTTTGAGGACTGCAACTTTTGAGTCAAGACAAGGCAGCTGCAGCAGAATTTGATCTTTTTCTTTATATACTTGTTAACATTTTACTCTCTATTGAACTGATTACTACAGAATCTATAGCATGCCACTTAAACAACCATATGAATTATTTCTGCACTTATTACTAGTTACTGTTTCAGGAGACATCTGACATAGAAATGGAGAAAATTACATTGTAAATAAGGTGCCTCTCTCCTACTCTCTGGGAATGGATAGTGCTCTCTTTAAAGGCTGCAGTTTATATTCCTCCAAGATGATATGTGCTAGAATATAATGGTGAGTCAATTAACAAAATAAAGTGTGAGGATTAACATTACTGTTCAGATTTTTCTGCTCAGTGACACACAAAGGCATATCCCATGTCAGATAGAATGTATTTCTGGAAAGAAACTACTGATTTTCAAATAGTAAAGCATCAAAATTTTATTTCTGGATAAATACTATCTGTAAATGAAGCAACTTTTCTGCTGGATGCTAAAAACATAACATATTTATTCAGTAGTCTTTAAAAGGATTCCTCAGAAATAAAACCTGTTTGGTACCAAGTTGTTACTCCACTTCAGGTAACCTCCAGCTTGAAAGCAAACAGACTAGAAGATTCCACAAGTAGATATTAAAATATTTGCTGAAGACACAGTTGTGTAAATCTGCAGAGTTACGAATTAAACAAGATGCCTGACAGCCTGTTGTCTGAATTGTAAAAGATCCAAGGAGTCACGTTTCAAAATCTCCTCAAAGATTAAATAAATATGGATACATATGCCATTCAAAATGGGACTAAAAATATTACCATGAATCTGGGACTGTATGTCACATGCACACTGCAAAGCCTGCTTTCATTTCATGTCCATAAATATACAACAATTAAGAAGGAAAAATAAACTTTCTTTCACATGCTTTGCCCTATCTACCTTCAATCAAACATCTTCCTCTTTTAGATGAAGAGAAAGAATATTATTCCAGCTGTTTCCCCAGTTCCGTCAGCACCAGTGAATTTTCAAGCAAAAGAACAGAAAAAACTTCTGCTGAGTATCCTTTCAATTTGGACTGGACTCAATCCAGTAACAAATTACAGCTGATGCAGTAATTCTTGATAAATTTGAAGGCTTTTGCTGTGTAAATATGAGTTTGATTGCCTCCTCTCTTCCAGGAATAATTTTTCTTTAACCGTTTTCTCTCTTAAGGCATTCTGTAAAAATTCAAATGATGCCACAATATTGTTTAAAAGTGTCTTACTCTTCCATGAAGTTTCTCATTGAGTTTTGGTTCTCTGTGTTCACTTTTCTTCACTTTCAGCCACTGTACCAAAGGCTTGATTGTCAATCCCTAGGCAATGAAACATAATAATAAATACTTAGGGTATTAGACTCTCCTCCAGCTGAACAGTGCTAAATAGAGTGGTTTTATACATGTTTATGTTGTTTGTCACACTTCCCTACTTGATCCCTCTCCCCATTAGAGCTAAAATAATGCAGTACCCACTGCTACTGTTACAAAGGCTTGAAAAGGCATCAAGCAGCAGAAAAAAAACATACCTTCTATATAGTACTGTGAGCCTGAGAATATTTCCTATAGTAGTGCATGTTTGTTTTCCACACATATTTATTTATTTAACGAATTTATTATGATTTATTACGAAAATTAAATTCTTGATACATTTTTTAAGTCTTTCAAATTGGTGTGTACTGACACATCTGCATTTATGTTATTTTTTTTTTTTCATCCACAAATCACTGTTTTGTTGTGTAAATACTTTCTTGTCCCACTGCTTATTGCCATATTTTAAAAGAACAGCTTAGGCTCACTCAGGTAGATCAGCTTAAAGACTGTATTTGCCAATAAATAGAACTGTTCCCTATAGTTATTCCTAAGAGATGAGGGATGTTTAGTCAGATATTAACTTCAGTACTATTAATATCGAGCAGCTAAGACTGAACATTTTTTAGCACAGAGGAAATTGTGTTTTGTCCCTTGTGGTACTGTATGAAAACATAAAATAGGATCTTTGTTACTAAAATTACAAAGTCAATTATGCCTTCAGTTCAGTGAAACAATACGCAACCTTCAGCTGAGAAGGCCTAATACTTTTAAGAGACTCCTTTTCCTCACAAGAAACATGCATAGGAAGAAAAATCACCTGGAAAATAACAGTAAAAAACACAACAACGATAGTTGTGCTGACAAACAGGTTCTTCTCTTTCACTTTTCTTGTATCCAGAAGCGCAACCAGAGCAAAAGCAACTGCTCCACGTAGTCCACCATATGACATCACTACCTGGTCTATTATCTCCAACTGGACCATTCTGTAGTGGTTAAGAATCCAAGTCTGTAAAACTACACCTATAAAAAGCAAATATTGACATGCTAGAAATGCTCTTATTAAATATCAATATCTCAACGGTGTGTTACAGAAACAGTACAAATTTCAGAACAAATTCTTTACACCTTCTACTTCACCCACTCTGCTTCTAAACTGCCAGGTAGGCTGGGGCCACTTTGTATTTTGCCCATCATATTTAGCCAGAGGAGTTAGAAGAAGCTTATTCTACAATCTAGCAACCCTTCTGAGAATGCTGTCCTTTGATAGGAGACAAGAATTTTTCTTCATCTAACACAGGTACTGAAGGTGAAATTCTATGAGAGCTATGTGCTCTTCTTTGAAATCATTGTCTGGGAAATACTAGAATATCTGCACTGCAGTAAATTATATACATGAGATATTTTAACAGCAAGAAATGCCAAGACATAAAATTGTTGCAACCCCATTGATTTAGAAAGCGTGGTAAGTGTGGTACTTTTTACAAATCATACTAAAAATGTCATCACTGTCAGTGCCTTGTGCAGAGTTGTATTGTTATGCTAACATCATCTTTGGGTCTACAGATGAGATACTGCCTTCTAGAAATGCTTGACCTGGAGTTCTAGAAATCATAATATCACCATGCAGAAGGAAAGATGCTTCAGTATTCCTGTGAGTGCACAGCATGTGCATCCCACCACAGCAAGCCAGGACCATTACATTTGCCAGAGCAAAAGAAATCCTTCTCTTTTCAGAGAACTTGGAGGTTATACTAAGGAAAGAAAAATATATATCACTCTAAGAAAGGCCTCTGATGAAGGGGACCTTGAAAATTAATTCACATCACCAATCTAATTCTCTGAGGATATGAAAGCTGTAATCACGTATGAAGACAAAGGCCCAATATCATCAGACTTTTAGTAATTTATCAAGGTCTAAGTTTAATTACTTCCCTGGATACATATTGTCATTGCTGAATATTTACTGTTTAGTGCTCACTCATATTACAGGATGGTTAACAATTAATTCTAGAAATACAGCAAATGATAAAGTTTAAAAAATGAAAACCTGCTTAAGCACATTACACACCCTAATTAGTGAGTAGGAGCAAAATTAAAAATGGTTACAGACTATTTAGAAATGAGGACATGGTACTAGATCTTTTATTCAGCTCATTCAGTCTGAATGTGATCGCAGGGTTTAGGAAACCTGCCAGCTAGGTAGGTGGCTCAGCTGGTACATAATTTAAATCAAACATTCAAATAAACGAGAAAATTCCAAGGTGTGAGCACATGCATGAAATCAAAATGCATGTTACTCGTTTTGTTTCAGGCCTTTTGCTATTTCACAAAACAGTCATTAAATTGTAGAAGTACGCATTTAGGCAAAATGTTATCAGCATTTTGAATGTTTGCAAACTTATGTAAGTCCAGTACATCGACAGTATGTAATCCTTACCTGCCACACACGTATTTACTCAGCTTTTCACCAGCCCAGAGAATTATTTCTCAAGCCAGAGAACCTGTAGTGTAATTCTGTATGGTCTTACATCACTGTGCATCTCAAATCTGAAGTCAACCATGAAATTAGCTTAAGACACTCTCTTTATTACCAAATTGAAAGAGCTGAAGAAAAGAGATGGCTGACAGGACTCACAAGTTTATTTTTCTGGGTTGTAATATAAAAAACAAAGTTAATTTCATTGGGAGATTTTGCAAATAGTGTGTTCATCACAGAAACTAGCCACTGGAAGAACTAGGTGAATGACTTAATTATTGGGCTAGCCATTACCTCACAAACGTGAAGTCCTACTATATTTTCCACTTATGATAAATCTTACTGTAAAAAACTTCCTTACTAAATAACAACAATCATAAATTCAACCAAAATGAATGAACTGGTTGACTTGGCTTGGTGTGGTTTGGGCAAAAGAATATATACCAACAACAAAAAGATTATCCCCTTACCAATGACTCTATATACTGAGATGAATACCAGAGTCAAGAGTATAAAAGCTGTATTCCAAGTCCAAATTTTTGGATCTACAGCTGAAATTCCTAGGAACATGAAGATGATAGTTTCTGCTCCACTGGCCAACATTTTCATGGTATATCTTACAGTTGTAGAAGATTGTTCAGATATATTAGCCTTGACATATTTTTGACAGCAAATGCCACAGAAAGTTATCCTGGGGGAAAAAAAAAATATTCAATTGTTCAGAAAATATTTGATGTAACATTTAATATTAGTCTGTCACATAGTGACAATCTCACCATTAATTCCTAAGACAAACGTACAAAAAATGCACTCCGAGGCCATTGTGCTTTTTCATCTGCTTAAAAAGCATTTCTCAAACATTTCTCCTGAGGTGATTCCCAAAATATGTGATGATAGCATTTCACTGGTCAAAAAAGACCTTTTCAGCTTACTATACTGATTTATATGAAAAAAAATTAATTCTTCTTTACATTAGATTAAAGCTTAAACTAATTATCTATTTCCAGTAACATTTTCAGGTACTAAATATACTAATTGTAATATCTACAAGCATGTCAAGCAAAACTGAGAAGAAAGATATGACAGAAATCAATGGATATCAAAGGAAGAAAAACCACAAAAGGTAAAAAAGACTACAAAAGATGACTCATGATAAAACAGACCAAATTTGGTAAAACCTAAGGAGGTCAATCTGGAGAGTGAAGGCAGGACATAATGCGTGTCACTGAATGCCTTAGAAAATTATTGTTTCAGTTAGAAACTGTAGAGTGTCAATAAAAATGGACAACTGTTAATTATTGAAGAGGAGACTATGAACCACAAAGTAGAAAGAACCAAATCTGTGTTTTGCAAAGAATGTCTTCGTGTTGCACAGAAAATACTAGAAAACTAGCATTGCTTTTTGAGGATAAATAATCACGGCATTTGCAAACTGTAATCATCTATGATGAAAAGAGAGAAATATTCAACATAAACTTTAGAACTGTTGTATTTTGTAGCTGCCTTATGTAATTTAGGTCTTTCAGTGTTTACAGAAACTATGTTGTCTTCTCAACCCCGTTCACAGACAATGAAAAGGACTTACGCAAGGATAGCGGAAAGAGAAAGCATCTCTGCTGTGAGGTAGGACAGGTAGGAAATAATAAAAACAAATCCAGGCTCGATGATTCTAACGTGCTTGGTGAAACGGCTGACCAAGGAGAGCAGAAATGCAAAGAAAATGCCAACAAGTGTCCCACCCAGGCTTACCACGAAGAATGACACTGAAATACAAGAAAAAAACACATCTTACAGCGTAGAAACTAGAACTAATTCTTCTTTTACTGTATGGCCAGTGAATCAGAGAAAACTTTAGAGGACATTTCAAAAATTGTTTCAGAAATACCAATACAAGAAGAATTCTTGCAAGTACTTGGTATAGGAACAACATCCTATAGGAAAACAAAACAAAACAAAATGAACAAACAAAAACCAACAAACTTACTTTCTGTTGAGCATTATTATTTTAGGCTTACTCAAAACCCACTAACTTAGTTTGAACAATGATTTTTCTCTACTGTTATGGAATATGTCAAAGTCACTGCTAATGCATTGATTCATAGGATAATTTAGTATCTTATCAAGCTTGGAATGGGAAAGAGTGACTAAATTTTTTGGCAAATATCGCTGCTTGACACTGATTTCCATCAAGTAGTACAAAAACCAAGGTTGGCGATCTTAGCAACTGAAATCTACATCTATCGATTCTCAAACAAAGTTGAACAGAAGAGTCTGAGAAATTTCCCACATGTTCATGAATTTTCACTTATTTTTTTAAAGAATTCTTGCAAGTTTATTCTCTCCTTATATTCTGTAGCAGTGTAGGAATATGACCAGGGAAAATGCTGAAAAAGAACAGTTTCTGACAGCACAATAATAAAATTTTATTTAAGAGTCGGCATATGTACACCAGTGGTATGTTACAGAATTCAATTCTACCCACCTATGCCTTTGACACATTCAGTACCAGTCACATTCTCTGGTCCTATTGCAACAAAAGATTCAAACACGTTGTACAACACCTGAAAAGAAAAGTAAACTGGCTTAGTACTTGCCCCTGAGTGAAACCTACTACAATAATCTCATTATGGGCCGCAACATTACGAATTCTGAACCTACTTATGAATGAGGGAAATTTTTTATGGAGGGAAAAGATTCTGCAGAATTTTAATTTTGCAAAAAAGATGCAGTGGGATGGGAAGAGCCAAATAAATCAGTTTAAAATGTTTTTCCATTTCTTATATAAATATGATTCTTTATGAACAATTAGATGTATGTGAGTATTATAAGACACTTCTCACTCTAAAATCCAAGCTTTTGGCAGAAGATTTTTTTACTGCTTGCATTAGATAAATAAGGTAACATGAATACAACAAGAATTATTAACAAGATATTAATAAGTTACTGGATTGAAACACGTTTAACATACGTAAACATAAAAGAGAATTAACTGTAATTTTTGCACTAAGGCTTTTCAAAAATTGATAACACTGAAAGTAAAGAAATCATCTATTACCCAACTTAGGAGGTCACTGTTTGTATGAGTATTATTCTTGTATTATGATAGGTACTTGTCTAACCTGTTTTTAAAGACCTCTAGTGATGGAAGAGTACTTTACTGTGGCTTTCTCAGCTTTTGTTGTTTCAGCTAAACTCATTAATTCTTACCATATTTACCATTTCTTACCCCTATTTTCTTCTGTAGCAACAGTCTTTTACATACTTACATTTAAAGAATGCCATATCTTTCACTTTCTTCTGCCCTCCATTGTTTTCTTATTCAAGGTAGACAACCTTGCTTGTTTTAAACTTTTTCATAAGATATGCTTTTTCTTGGTTATGCTTACTGTTCTCTCCTGTTCTTTTCAACAAGTAATCAAGTTTGCTTGTGGAGTATTTTTATTCATTATGCAGTGGCAAAAACTTGATTCCTTGTGAAAATCAGTGATGTTGATAGAGGAGTTTATAAGAAGTTTAATACTTGGTTCTAGAAATCCCTCCAACATAAAGTATTTCATTTATGAGAGTGCGTTCAGAAAAGAAAAAAAAAACAAACAACAAACAAACAAACAACAAAAAGCCACTTGAGTTAGAGTGACCTTGGGATATATAGTTTACTTACCACAGTGACAGCATCATTCAGAAGTGATTCTCCAAAAACAATGATGAATAGAACTTCGTTGACATGGACTTCTTCAAATACTGCCAGCACAGCAACAGGATCCACAGCAGCAATCAAGCTGCCAAACAGGAGGAAGTCCAGCAACCCACTGTCCAGGTGGCCTTCAAAACAAAGTACAAAAACTATAAGCAGATTCATCTTTGTGTTATCTGTAGTAATGTCAGACTGTCATATCACAGACAAAACAAAATCCTTGAAAACAGAGATTCTAAGATTTAACTGTAAAGTATGGCATATAAGCTATTTAACATGTCCCTCATGATGTCACCTAGTGTCCTATGAGATTTATTAGATCCAAAATCATACCATCTAACTCAGACTCTGGAAGCAGTACCTTATTCTTATGGCAAGGCACATGAGATTAAGTTTTTCCAGATATAAACTGCCTTTGTAGTTACGTGTTGTATCATTCATCTGAAGTAAAATGTCTCAGCTTAGTTGACAACAGACAAGATGGATGAAGTAATATTCCAGCACCCCCGAAGTAAATGTTCTAAAATACTACAAGAGGCCAAATTTGCCTCTTGCTCACTAAGAATGACTACAGTGGGGGCTTAACCACACTCTGTGCAGTTATACAGCATTTCTGTACCAGTAGATGTGTATTGACAGATGTAGTTGAGACAGTTGTTCCCAAATTATGTTCCACGAGGCCAGTATTACATTGCAGGTGGGCTCTAGAAACAGGTAAAGGACTAAAAGTTACAACTTCAATGTGCTTGTGTTGTAGCTCATGAGAATTTTGAATAATGGTGTTTTGTTGTTGTTGTTCATTGTTTTTTGTTGTTGCTGTTGATTTTTTATTTTTATTTTTTCCAATGGTTTCAAAGGTTTAGGAACTACAGGATTCTGGTGACAAAGGAATACAGCGCTTATTTATTGCATTAGTTTTTATCTCGTATTACTTATTAAGTTTACTTTGCTCACCTATGGAAACAGAAATATGTGCAAACAGAATGAGGCATGCACTATCATTTTAAAAGTAACAGCAAAGGGAAAGCTACAAAGATGGCTCTGCTAATTTCCTAAAGATCTTGCAAAATTTACCTTCTTCATGCAACCAAGAGTGGGATCCCAGTCCTTTTTATCTGAGGAACAGATTTTTGCAAGAGTAGAGAACAGGAAAAATCCCTCTGTGCTCATTAGTGGATGGAAGAGAAAACAAGGTTCATCAAGAGGAGAAAAAGATCATATGAGGAAGAACAAAGAAGGAATATGTTCAGAATTCATTCATGAGAACACAGTGCAGAGGTCCAGGACAAAAATTAATAGACAGTCGTATCAGGCATGATTTATATAAGTGAGGGAGAAATTGACCTGAATAAGTTTTTTAGAAGAAAAAATCAGAAAATAAATGGACAATAGCCCTACCCGAGGGATCAATATTGCTTGTAAGGCACTTCTATTGCAACATGGCCACTCCCTTAGCAGAACACTTTTTTAAATCTAGAGTGTTTAGCGTTTAAAAAGTAACTGAGAGAGAAACTATATTCCAAATATTTGTTACAAAATACATAGGCATATTTACTCAAGAGAAGGACACTTAAATGGGAAGGCACAGACAACAAAAATGCAATAAAAGCCAATGATCTGAGGAAGCTGGAGAAAAACATATTCTCTCAGGGGTCTAGGTAAGGCCATGAAAACTGAAGCTCATAATTTGCATTAAATATATAAATATATAACTGCTATTTAAAAAGCGAAACAAAACATAACAAACCCACGTGATAGATTTGTTCACTTTTGGACACATGGGACAGTGAATGAGGAGTGAATCTTTCCACTTTTCATGTGAGAGGAAGGTCAAGTCAGTGAGATGGAGACTGTGCCAAAAGTTTTGAGAAAAACCTTGAACTTAGATTCTAAGTAATGGTTCCATATAATGATGTCCATCTCTGCCAAGCTTAAAGAAAGACAAGCTCAATAACAATAATTACCAGATATCAGGGTACAATAAGCCTTTAAAATAACTTGGCTCACTGGGATTTCTTATCTTTTTTTATATGTTACCAATTATAATCATTGGTACATTCTTTAAAGAGTTGCAAAGCTAGTAAGCAAATATTTATGGAAAGGTTAGGACACATCCATAATTCCTACAACTTAATGTCAAGAGGCATGGGGTTGCTAGACCAGACTTTTAGTTAGGCAAAGAGAAATTTCAAAGGGATACAAGATCATTGGTTCCTCCAGATCACTGGAGTCTGGAGTCACTGTCAGCAGTAACACTCGAGCAAGATAAGTTTGCTGGGCCCAAATCAAGACTCCCACACATACTCAACACATTGCCACAGCGACTTGTATAGGGAAAAAGATGTCCAAGTGTTAAGCACAACCACAATTACATAGTGCTATAGCACTCAGGCCTGTGTTGGTTTAACAGCAGGTTGTGAAGAGTTCAGTGCAATCAGCCAGAACATTCATTAGATTCTTCTTCCCATGGCTGCTGGTTAATAGGTAAGGGCTGAAATTATTTCACTTCTAAGGAAAGATTTCTCTGTTATTATCACCTTGTCTTTCCATTCTGTAAACTATAGATATATTATAAATATAGGTATAATTATAAATATATTATACCTATGAGAACACCAAATGGAAACAAAGTGCTTCTAGAATTTTTATTTATGTAGGAAATCTATGTAATTCAACCTGGATTACCTGCTTCCATATGAAGCAGTTCCACACTGATGATCAGTGTGAAGTAAATGATTACAGGATGATTCCATGGTAAAATTGAAAGAAATTTTTTTCTATACATCTGTACATTAGTGTATACACATTCCTACATACTAATTATATTACTTTAAGCAGTATTCATTCCAATTATAGAAAGAGTAGAGTAGAACCAAAAATAGGTTTTAGAAACTCAGCAAGAAGGTACTATGAACTCTCCAAAAAACTGAGTAGCTCAGCACTTCTCCGTCTTCAGCAAACAACTAAAAACAGCAAGGCTTCTCACAAAATCTGGTGCTCAGATCTTGATGACATCTTGGAGGTCAACACAGTGAATTTAGTGGATTAGTAGTATGCGTCATGTAGATAATTTGAAGTCTCATTTAGTTTTGACAGAGAATGACACAGTTTAAATTAGGGACAGACTTCTCTGCCCTACTCCGTGACTCAAATTAGAGCTCTAGTAGGTTATAGTATGTCTTGTTGCTAAAACAGGTTGTGACAGTTAGCAATTACTCTCTTTCTAAACACTGAAATTTGTGAGGCACGTCAGTCAATAGTCTGCCTTAGTGAACATCTTCCACATTTAGCTTATAAAGCTTTATCTGTGGCCGGCAGTGTGGGATGATTCTCTGTTTAAGTTCAGAGCTTCAGTATCAGAACGAGTTCTAGTACGAGAACTGTTAGAACTAATATTACACTTGTTCTAGTACAGTTTTGGTTCTATCACTGAAAGATCTGCATAGTGATGAAGCAACACATAATCACATAACAATGAAACAAAATATGCAGCTATCAAACACAGCTTGTACAATTAATCCAGAACTGTGTAAGGATTTGGATGAGAGCAAGGAGGTAAATGGGCTTTTCACTTCAAATAACACATTCAAGAAAACATTTTGCATGTCATACAGAGGTCAGTGCTTTTCTCTTCATGATTTTTATATTTTTTTTATAATTAGTAATTATCATTCATTCTATTTTCCGAAAAAGGATGTTAATAAATATAGGTTGACAGTATTTCTTAAATTGCTTCATAAAATTACCAAAAGAAAAAACAGTTTGGATGTTAAAAGAAAGAAAGTCTTGTCCAATCTGTTGCAGTATCAAGCAATACTGTGTGGAAACTTATGCCAGTATTTAATACTACACTGTTTGTTTAATGTTGATGCTTATCTTTACAATACATATAGATGCTATATTTACATAAAAAGTCTTTTCCATTTCCCATTGTTAACATTCACCAAAGCCTGTATTTAACAAGTATGAGACTCAGTACAAAATATTGTGCCCAGAGGCTGAAAGAACATCTTACCTACTCACAGTTGTCAGTAGTGTCTGTAGTCATCTTAGTAACTTCTTGTGACTTACAAAACATGATTTATCTCAAAGTCAGTTAAGTATCTAAAATGCAAGGTATCTCTGTCATGTATGTTGATACAAATACTTACGGTAACCATAAAAAGATGAATTTCGCTACGAACAAATTTGTAGTCAAGTTCTTCCATACATGGATTTTCATATAAAGACAAGAAATTCAGCTACAGGTTTCCTTTAAAATGAGTGTAATAGGTATCACAATGGAGTGCTCAAAGAAGCTAGCTTCAGATTCTCATACTCCCTGTGCTGGGTGCTTGGTTAGTATTAGAGACTAGAAAGTGGAGTGAAATTCTACTACCTTATCTTCTGTAATAATCTGCTAATATCTTCTTTCTTCCAAGACAAAATATTTTTCTCTGAAACATCTGCAAACTCTAATATCTGAGGCATTCTTATAGATGGACTGAAAAAGAAGTCAGTGATAAATTACCCTGAGTGTGTTGGCACTACTTTTTTCAGAGAGCAGACTCATGACTGGTTGTTGAGCCTATTCTACAACACAACACACACCTTGGCATCTCAGGGCCTCTCACTCCATCCAGGATCTCAGCACAGGTTGCAGAGAACAGAGGGGCAAAGTGCACAGGTAAAGCAGCATTATGTTAATACCGCTCCCAATAGCACTCAACAGTGCTCTTGAACTATCTTCTGGAACTCACCGACCTAAGGGAATTCTGAAGGGTGTTTGAGCTCCAGTGCAGATAACAAAAAAAGCATAAATAGGACTCCTAAACACACATGCAAAGCACAATTAGTGCTAATTATTGCTGTCCAGGTGGCAGTACACGGCTTTTATGCATGTCACATCTGCTTGAAGAGAAAGAGTCATTGTTCCATGTCTCTTCTAGCATCTCCATGCCCTTGCATACCATAGTAAAGTTAAGACAAAATCCATCTTACATGTGCTACTTGGCTCCGTAAGTCTTTACTCAAAATTTTTAGCATCAGAATGCAAAATACAGATGTCATGAATACATACCCACTCAGCAAACATTGCCTCCTTGATATTAGACCTGACGGAAGAGAGACATTTCCTTTCAATGTTAACTTTTAAGTTTTCTACCACAGTAGGAAGAAACAAACCCTTCAGAATGTATTTTTTTTTTGTCCAGGTGACCACAAGCAGGATGAATCCTCAGCTTGATCCTGAGAATGTACGCAGACATTTAGAGCATGGAAATATGAGAGGCACAGATACAAGTCGCTTTTGATCTTAATTCAGAGATGAGTTCTGAGATTATTCTGAAATTTGGAAAATATTATTACAAGTTGCTCCAGTTAAAATCTGTCTTTTCTGCTGACAAGTGCTGTTAAATTGCAATGTATACCCTGTTCTAACAGCTGGCATCCACTAACTTTCATAATTGTACCTTTTAACAGATCAAACTTACCCATTATTCCTGTCCGATAGACACCATAGAGAGATAAACCAGTTGTGGCTGCATTCCATACGGTCCCAATGACAGCATACAAAAGGATGGAACCAAGATTTCCAAAGAATAACCTATTTGGCATAAAATATCCAGCATCCAGAACAATGGGAGGCAGCAGATAGAAAAAAAACACCTCCGGTGTAAGGGTAAAAGAGGCAATGTGATCTGCTGCCCATACAATGCCACCAAGGAGGACACCAAGAACAATCAGTAGAGCACTCTCTGGAACCACCCGAGTGACTTTGTGGGACAAGTGGAAAACTGCAATGAAAAAAGGAGAACAGTGTATGAGAACTGGAAAGAAGTTCACCAACAGTTGCTAGCTGGTAATTTTGAAACAAACTTCTTGCTTTCCTTGCTATTAGAACCCCCACGGCATGCATGTAATGCATGGGACACAGCCTGTCAGAACCCAAAACCCATCTTTTTGAAAAACAAAACAAAAGCATTGATTTCCAGATTTTATCCAGGCGGAATATTTAATTCATATTTAACCTCGTATGAAGCCAGTGTTCCACATTCGTTTCCTTTCTTGGACTATCTTCTCTTTGAAAGATCTGCTTAGGGAAAGAAGGCGTTCTTTGCAAAAGAGTTCAGTGCAAGAATGAAAAGAAATAGAAAAATGCTGGAAATATACATACTCCTTTGTGGTTTAGTTCTATATCTAAAAATATGCACTTAAGATCCCAATATTTGTCTTTAGAAGTAGTCAGTGCACTTGCAGATATGTTGAAGGATGGAAAGAGAAGTAAGCCAAAAGAATAATTAGTTTTAAGTCATTTTTTTTTTTTTTAATTACTGAAGAATATTGTATGAAAATGTAGCCCGCAACAGGAAGAGAATGGAGCTGACAAAGTGGGAGATCACTTTGGGGCCCTTACCTCAAGATATCCCTAGCAAGAATTTCAGCCATAAAACATTCCAACTTTCTAAAGTACAGCAGAAGAATCTTCCCCATGACTATGCAGAGGTTTTAGATCAGGTTAACTCATCCTCAAAGTCTCCTATTTAAGTATTTGCCCTAGTCAAACATTTACAAGTTACCTTTCAAAGTAATTTTAGGGCCCCATTTTTGAAATGTCTCTTTTTCCTGGCTGCATCTACACAGATAGCATGAGAAGCACAGCTCATCACTATGGTGGTAGCAGAAAAAGATCCTTACAGTTGTATGACATCCATGAACTGATCAGAAGAGAAAACATTGTGGGAAAAATGAGAGCAGCCTGCCTACGTCAGCATTCCCACCACAGTGAGAACGAATGCATGTTTTCCTAAGGGTCTGTAGAAGAGATTTGAAAACTAAGCCATTTTAGAAGATATCTTGAGAATGGGATTAAAAAAACAGCAATCACACATAAAAGCAAACAGCACTCAGTGATGTTGGCTAACCTATGCTAGCTCACTTTATCATTTGGGTCTTGCAATCAATCGCTGCATAATACTCCACAGAAACAAATTCTGTGGCTTTCACAGTTTTCCCTCTTTATAATAAAATCCCTCAAATTTTGCCTTAGTTTAAAAAAGGAAAAAAAGAAAAACGATATTCCATGCGTAAAAATTGTGGCATTTAACTTTTCAAAAGTCTTTTCTACTGGCTATTCTTTATTCCTTGAATTTCCAGTCAGTGAATTATCAACTAATCTATTACCTCGTGGAGTAGGGATTATATCCTTATTCCTGAAAATGAATGGTACTGAGCTAATGTTACTATAGTCTGTTTTTCCAACTCCTATTTTAATAGACAAACTGTAACTAAAAGAAGTTAAAACTTTAAAATAAAACAGTAAATGCATTTCAAAACAAGATATTGAGAAAATACCAAGATGTACTTCAGCTAAAAATTCATATTCCGTAGAATTCTCATTTTTACCATCAAAAACTAGTTTTTCCCAGTGAGTGCTGAAAACTCAACTAGATTTTGCTTATAACATTGCCACCTTCCCCTAGAAGCTGTTACCATGAATTCAGCTACAGCAACAACCACATCATTCTGTGTTCCCTTTAACACTGATCAGCTGATGATATATGTACAACATTTGAGTATTATTAGTATCATTAGCAGAATCCTGGTGTCTGTAAGACTAGAAATATGTAAAAGGAAGATTCCACAACTGATGCAATTAAATGAAATAACTTCAGACTAGGATGCAACTGGAATTTTGAGTTCATATTTTCATTTAAATTCTTTTTCAAGGTACGTGCATAAATTATATTTAATAAAGATTGTGCAATATAGTTATAGCATCTATGGGACTTGATAAACATTAATCCCAAATTCATTCCCTAATATTTTTTTAACACTCACTGTTTAGAGGTTATTTCCCTAATGTGCTCTGAGTGTGTTGATAGCCTTGGAGAGATCCAGAAATAGCCCGACAAAGTTGTGGACACAAGATAAAGTAAGTAGAAGAACTGTAAGTTTTAATTACATGGGTTGCTCCAAAAGTAATGCCTCTTATTTATTTCCATGGAAACTATAACAAGTTCAAAGAGCAGAATAATATTATTTGATAGAGTAAATTTTCAGCTACAAATCTGTATTTTTCAGCATAGTCACCACCATTAGCCACGCATTTTTGCCACAACAAACAAAAGCATGGCATGGTTGCAAAAATATGCATGACTATCTGGAATATGGCATTTCTTTCATATCATTGTTGCCACTGCTGAAAAGTACCACCCACTGCCTCATTCTGCTTGCATCCATTAGTTGGTCTCCACAAACATTCAGCAAGCATTCATGTATGCCAGTGGTGCAATTATTTTCACATGGAGGAATTCAATTATGCACCTTTGCTTCATATGAACTTCCATGTCAGATACCAAATTGTCAGACTGACCCTCTACTGCCATCTGTCACACAGCAACAAAATATAACAGAATATTGGCAGTAAGGCTCAACCTCTACTCCCTTGAAACCAACATCCGTGTCTGAAATTACGAGCTAATATAATAAAATAGGAGGCATCACTTTCAGAGCATCCCCTCATACATCTGTGTGCCTAGCTTGAATAGATATTCCACCTGACTGAGAAGTAAAATATTATCCAGAAATTATGGACAAGGAGTTTAGCATGAACCCACGGTTGTGAAAGAAATCCCAAGCATCAGTAAGGACTGCAAGCAGTGCAGCTCATATAAATTACTCTGTGAGCCACCCAAAGGTGAAATTTAGACTGTTTTCACTGCTGTCAACTCAGAAAAATAAATGAATGCCTATTAATGAGGCAAGTGAAAGAGCAAAGAAACACAAATAACCACAATATTTAAAGAAAATTTTTGCCTTTCATTTGCCATTTCATGCTAAACCTGGCTTAGCAGATTAAACTGCGCTGTGGATAAATTGCACTTGAATTCAAGTATCACTGAAGTAGAAGCTTCCTACAAAGTTGAGAAACAATTGCACAGCATAAACTTCCTGTAAAAAACAAAACAAAACAAAACAAAACAAAACAAAAGACCTGACACTTCTTCCTTTAAGATCCATGAAAAGGAACTGTAGCATTTGAAATATCTCAGAAGGAAGACAAAAATTACCAGATTATTATTTGATAGTTGGGTCCAGTTTCTTTTGAATCTAGTAAAACAATATACTCAAAGTAAGTTTCCCACACTTGAAGAATACAGTAACTTAGATTAAATCCTGCAGTGGAATTTACAACATTCAGTGAACTGTCTGCTAGTCTTTAAAGTGTCCTGAAGCTGCTTTAAAGGAAGCGATTCGACAGATCAGACTTTTTCTCATTCACTAAATAAAATGACTGGTTTCTAAATAAAAAAAGGGAAGTTAAGTAACAAGAGGAAAAAACAGAGTAAAAAACAAGATGTCATGTACAATTCATGTTCAAATCATTTAATTTTGTAGATCCACAAGCAAAAAGAATTTGAAGTAGATTTTTCTAGATTTCTTTCCAAATTCTCTCTAACAGAACCTGTTATTTTTATGAATACTGAATTTTAGATATCAAGAGAAACAATTCAGTGACTGTATTTCAGAATTTTTGGCTTTGTTTCCAGCTGAAATGACAGAGTTTCCGCCTGAACATACAGCATTTTAAAATTAAAAAGCTGGAATTATCTGTTTAATATTCTGTTAAATTCCTGGATTTATACAGCAACTCCAACACTTCCCTAAGAGATTAATGACATTTTCATTAACTTTATTACTCTAAAGTCAAGACCTTGTAAATACTGAGAAAAATTGTGATAGTGTCAGAGTCACTGCAACCACCAAAGCCACAGCATGTAAACAATATGCAGCAGGTCGCTCAAAAAAATTAAGAGCTGATTTATAAAGGTGCTATTAATTACCTGCTGAAATGTTTTGTTGCTCTCTTATTTGCTTGTTTGTTTGCTTTAATACTTCTTCAAATAAAATCCAAGGAATCAAAAAATAATTTAAATTATAAGCAGATTTTTCAGCCTTTTGGCTTCCATAGTTTGCCTGAGAGTGCAGAAATCAATTTGCAAACATTTCTTAGTTCCTTCTACCACTACTGACAGTTTGGTTTATATCAGCTGTATTTTTGCTAGTGGGTCAAGCACACACTGCTAATATGCTATTAGTGTGTTTTTCAGTTTTGAGTTTGTATTTTCATATACACAGATCAAATAATCATATGATATCAAGTCACAGTTGACTCTGAGATCCAAGACTTGATTCTCTCTAACTTCTGAGAAGCCTTGTCACTGACCAAAAGTAAAAGCAAAACACTGCAACTTTTAGTGATTCTGTACATTTTCTTTATAGATACGCTATCCATAGTATCTTCCTGCCAGCTCTCTTGCTTATGCAGCCTGCACAGAGGATCCAGGAATTTCAGTTATGATCATAAGAACTGGAAGAACTATTTGATCACACATCAAAAACCTCCATTATCACAACTCCACACATGATGATCCTCATTTCAGAGATTTTTGCTCCTGCTAAATCTCCGTGAAGGTACATCATCAGCCTTCACCTCTTTCTATCAGAGTATTCATAGCAATTTTATACCCATTTGCCTGTGTAAAAATTATTTCAATTTTCTTAAACAGTTCTTTAACCGTGATGTTAAATCCTTAATTTCTTGTTATATATCCGCAGGGAAAAACCTATCTCTTTCTGTTGCTTGTCTTTGTACTGTTACAGCAAGCTGTTTATTTTCACTCTCCAGTTGAGCTCTGTCTATTTCATTCTGAGTTCAAGAGTCATCAGAAGTATAGACTGCTTTCTGCATCAGTTACCATAGGAGCAGCATGTCCAACACCATTAATAATTT